ACGTGTGTCTATGTGGAAAATAGTAGCATTGGGAAGCAAATCGCCTAGCTTTTAATCGGCAGTTAAGGAATTAATTATAAGCTGTACAAAAAAAATTATCAAGATAAGTGTTAATACAAGCCCGTGTGATCACTGGTAGTTATCAAACTTATTCTTAAAATAGTATTGTTAAATTAATAATATAAGACGTTGTACAGTATTGATACATTTAGAAATGCATTATATCAGTGTATACGTGTATTTTATTATATCAGAAAGTATTTTGTTTGTTTACTTTCAGTAATAAGTTTTAAATAATCTTTTGTTTTCCTCTTTTCAATATACTCGGGCCTCCCTCGTAGAGTTATCACGCCTCCGAAAAGGGACGTGCCCCACAGTTTGAGAAACGCTGGTGTAAATTGACACCCGAGAGAGGATTCTTATATACTCCGTATTTGGTATTAATGATTTTTTCCCTGTTGTTGTTGAATCAATGTCCGCTAAAGTAGGGTATTGTAGATATCATTCCCCACAGAGACGTAAAAGAGAATAAATAGGCTTTTATTTTAAGTAATGTTTCTAGATTTATCGATAAATGAACCTGGAAAGCAGTGAGTTATTATGCTCTATGTATTTATTTTATTTCGCTAAATGTTAAAAATCTTAGACCTTAATTTGCAATCAACTTAAGGTATTCGGCTAAGTTCAAAACCGTAATTTTGAAAAAGCGTATATAAGAGAATAATTTTGATATTTATTGTCATTTGAATTAGAATATGCTCATACAACTGTTTTAAGAATATTATCACAAGAACAAATTACATAAATGTAATTTTTCGGCAATAGAAAAGGGAAGAATAACATACTTTCAAACACATTCACCTTTTATGAAAAATGCTTCTATAATAATAATATTTTGCTTGTATTTCGCTAATCTCTTTTTCTACAAGGCTTGAACAAGAATTTTTGGAAAGCGTAACTTAGAAGTGTATTTATTTATATTTTAAAGCTTCAGAGTAAAGAAATTTTAACAAAACAAATAATAAATAAACATCGATAATTATTTCAATTGATAATAACTGAAAATATGGTAAATTTTTCAAAAATCCTAATTCCGTCTCTGTAGAGGAGTTTTAACTATATGTAAGCAACATGTTATTAATATAGAAGCATTTTTCAAAAAAGGAGATTGTTTTCAAAATATGTCATTATTTTCACCTTTTTTGCCGAAAAAATTGCATTAAAATTTTTTTTATTGCAGCTATATTACGAAAAAATTTTATATGCATATTGTAATTCATCAAAGGATTCTAAATATCAAAAAAAATTTATCTTATCCAAACGAAGTCTGAGACCTCAAAATATTTCAAATTATTAGTACAATTTTTACCTCATTGAAATATATTTATATTTCTATTGAAATTGTTTTCTAGGACGAAAATTGTTTTCGAACTTGTGTTTTCTTTATAGTTTTTATATAAATTGTTATTATAAAACTGATTTCAAACACTCATTTGTATTCTAATACCCATTCGTAAGTCTTCGATACCTTATTTCCTTGAGCAAAAAAATAATATTACTAAATATCTCATTATTTAATCCTGAATAACAAATTCATTCAGTAAAAATATTTGAAAGAGCTATTTTTAAATGTGGAATAAATACTTAAATACCAAAAAAAATTCAAATCTGATTGTGTGATAATTGGCTTAAAAAATATTTTATTAATTGTGTTTTTATTGAGAATTTCACACTAAACTGAAATGGAAATAGAAAAGATATCATTCTTGCATGTTATTTTCCTAAATTTTAATGTTATTTATTTATTTATTTATTGGATTTACTTCCATCGCTTTTAGCAAAATGTTCTCATTTAAAGTTAAGTTTTTTTCTTGGAGATTGAAGCTAAGTGAGGCGTAAGAATCTATTTCAAATGATTAATTAGCATTGTGAATCTCAAAAGTTTTTATTATAAAAACAGCTCCAGCCTATTAATTAATTTTAAAAGAATTAGTACTGTAAAATTAGAATGTATTAAAATACTTTTTTTTTGAATCCATAATATTTTTAATGATTGAAAAAGAACTTGTTAATACATAATTTTACCAAATCTTTTTCCAACATGCCACAAATTAAAAAAAAAAAAATTCAAAACTTTTCAAAAACATTCGAATGATTAAATTTGACCGAAAAGATTTATTTCTTTTAAAAAATCCATTACTGATTTATCCAATCAAATTATAAAAAAACATTATGTATTGCTGGAAATGTAAATTGTTTCAAAATATCGTCACTAATTTTTTTTAAAAGTCCCTAAAAGAGTTTTCAAAGGTCCAATAAAAATAATCATCGAAATAGTTATTTTGATTAAGTAATTTAATACCAGTAAATGCGATATCGAAGTACAAAACATCATTTTTTCGTGATTTGTGCAGAAGGGTTTGGAAAATTTAGAAATGGAAAAATATCCAACTTAAACATTACATTGTCACACAGGATGATAATGAAAAAAGTTATGGTCATTAATAATAGTAAAAAAAAACAACTTGTGAATGCTCAAAAAAAAAAATAATAATAATTGTAAAACAAGACATTATTTGAACAAGAAAACTTATTTCTGTTTGCGCCCCCCGGCGGCAGAGAGGCGTTTTTAATCTATTTTGAACCTATCATTTAACTACACTGCATTGCTCTTTATCTTTTTACATAATTTTTTTCTTCTTTTCTTTTCAGTCTATTCCCAATACCGTAAATAATGTACTTTTTACAGGACCATTTGGTATCAAAGTGTAAGAAATAACTATCACAAAACTAATTACATTTCAAGTGATTAATAAAGGTTCCAAGAAAAAAAAACAATGATTTTTAGCAGAGTACTTCATTTCAAGAAAGAAAAATTTAAATATTTAAAAAATAATTTGAAATATATTAAGTGTGTATGATTAATACCAATTATAAAATATTTCAGAAATGAAGTATTTTTCCGAATTTGCCTAAAATTATGCTTAAAAATAAATTTATAATAAAGTAATCCATGTAAAATTATTTAAAATATTAAATACTGGGGGAGGGGGAGGTACAACTTGTCCGCCTAACAGCGGACCAATCATCATTGCACAAATTTTATAAAACTTTTCATACTCTTAACATGGGTATGGACAATTGTATGATTGTAATATTTGCAAGCAACGCCGTCACTTACATTATAATGGTTTTTCACTGGAAACTTGGGGAAATATTGGTGTTACAGCCAAGTTAACATAATTTTGGGTGTCCAAACTTGGCTAATTGTTGACCATATGGATGCTTATGGAAAATTTTGGAGAAATCTATAATATCACGTTCTGTGACGTAATCAGATTTTTTTGAAAAAAACATGGAAGGTGGATCAGAGCCCTAGGTAAATCCTTCTTCCTCTTCAGTTAAATTCATCTTTTTATGATCCCCATTTTTACTAACTATTCCTTATATATAAATAAAATTATAATAGCATCACGAAAATCCTTTTTTATATATTTGAGGGAAAAAAAAGAAGATATATTTTTACCTACGTACGTATTTATGCATTTATATTCATACACGTATTTATATGAATACATTTATACATTTATATTTACATGAATACGTATTTATGTATTTCTAGACATATCCGAATAAGGTATACCATTATTATTTAAAATGTGTACATAAAAATTACAAACAGTAAATAATGGTAAACACTTTTTGCATAAATTAAGAATTAAGAGCAGAATATAACTCTTACATCCAAGTAAAAGAATTTTTAATAAAATATACATCTGATCAAATGAAGTAACAAATGTTCGAAATATGAAACTTTCTTGGCTAATTAACATACTGCGAAAGGGTTAAGAAAATTGATAACTTTGAAATGTAACCGCCATAAATTAAAACTATCTAATATTCTGAAATTGAGTGATCATTAAAATAAGGGTCTTTTATGTATTCCATTACTATAAAGATAAAAAAAAGTTTATGACCCACCAATCAACGTACGACATTCCTCTAAATTGAATATTTTCTTGCTGTGAGACAGGCACGATATTCCAATGCTAAAGACGAGATGATAAGCATTTTTGATTTTAAGCTATGAGCGGAAAGTATCGGAACTTTAATGAGAGCCCAAAGGGTTTAAGAAATGATGAATATTCATTTTATTGGAACTATTTCTTTACCTCAGGAAATGATAATGAAGTAAAAGCTACTTTTGCTTGATTAGCCAAAGTGATGGAATTGCATATTTTTCAAAAAAAAAATCCCTAGGCAATTTCGTATTGAATTTGAAAGGCTCTGGTATTCTCGAAATTGCCCCATTTTATTTTCTTCTAACAGATTTTCTTTCAAAAAATTTAACCTTCATCCAAAGAAAATTCAAACTAAATATCTTTCTCTCATAAGAGAACAAATGTGTACAACCAGTTTTTATTTGTGAATACTACAATCTAATGGCAATATATTATTTTTTTAATCAGAATGTTACTAAGATTAAACTAAACTCAGTGGCGCAACAGCCTATGGGAGCCAAGACCTACTGTGCCCATCTCAGTTTGAGTCACCTTGGACACTGAGGTGCATGAGCAGATATTTTGGCCTGGTTGCCAGTGCGATGCGTTACCCTCAGTGTTTTCCCAAGCATGGTTGATAAGTTTGTTATTGTAAATAAAATTATTCTGTAGAGGACTCAACAAAATAAATTATTTGAGACACATTATATATATATATAAATGAATGTTTGTATATATGACCTCGCTTCACTCCAAATCCGTTCAACCGATCACTATGAAAATTAGTATGCATATGTATTTTTGAAGTTATACTTCTTAAGGGGCGTTAGAGAAATAGGATTAGGATGAATTTTTACGATGCGCGCAAACACCGTCACGGATGTGACGCACACAATCACGGATGCAAAAATGCTTTGTCTAGAAATGTACAGAAAGTTACAGATCATTGCCACCTTCGAAATTCTCAGAAAAATATTTCTCTTCATTTCCCTGAAGAGAAATAAAAACCCGGGTTTGAACCGGGGACCTATCAATGGGCAGTTGAATGCTCTACCACTGAGCTGTATCTCTTATTTTAGCGAACCTTTGATTTGCACTGATTTGTAACGTCACTACTAGTAATAAGAGATCGTCTTTCACCTACGGAGATTCCCTGATGCATTTGTTTGAACAATTTCTGTTATTAAACCAAACATACTGACAGGAAATTTTTAAAAAAATTAGTAAATTAATCTTTAAATTGTGTTTCATGTAAATAAAACATAAGAGAAAATATTATTTATCTATTTAATTAACAATTGCAAGTATATGATTATAGATGCATTTACAACGAACGCATTGCGATGAACATAAACACATTTATTATATTGTAGCAAATTATAAGAGCCTTTTGTATTCGTATATTTATTTTTGAAGTTATCCTTCTTATTGTGCGTTCGAAAAAAAGGATGAGGGTAAATTTTTATGATTTTTCTCACACTGTCTCGAATGCGTGCGCATACCTTCATGTCACCGATGCGTGCGTGCACATCGTAGTCTAATATTTTAACATGCCACTTTTTTGGTGCTATGGGACTGATATTTGGGGGATCATAATAACTATTGTTATAAACCATAGTTGGGATGTATCCTCCCTGTGCATTCCCCCTCTACATCTTTTTGTCCAATATCTCGGCACCCGAGTCTTACAGTCCATTAGGACCTGGCTCATTCGATCCCTCTCTATCTGCTCTTAAAGTTATTGTAATTTCATGCTCATACTTCTTTCATTATTTTTAACTGTCTTAAACTTTTTAAATTTGTTTAAATTCACAATATCTTGGTTCCTGTTCGAGTCCCAGACTTGAGATTTGAACCAAGTGTTCCACTCGTCGAGACCCACACAGTCATCTGCTTCATTCTAATTGTGTAGGCATGGGGAGGGCTTAAGCACTAAAATATCATACTCCTATGTTAATCCTATGGGGACTGGAAAAAAGTTCACCCCCCTCTAAGGAAATTTAGCTTGGAACTTGATATTTGGAAATCCGCCATATTTTCGTATTAGCGCGAGCTTTACGTGGAATTAGCCCCCTCCCCCTTACAGGGCTTTCCCAGAAATAACTCGAATCCTATGCCACCTTGGTGGACCGCACCGGCTGAATTCGATTGTTCTTCCTATGAGCATCCTAGATAAATTTTTCACGACCATAGCCCCATTTCTTTACTCATATTTAACATTTTAAAATTATTTTAAAGTGATAAAATGAAACTCGGTCCATAGGTTCATCTCGTTGAGTTGTTTCATATGTTATAATTCGTGTGTATATAGTGGGCTAAGGAGGAGGGGACGCGTTATCACTAAAATTAGAATCCCCATGTTTTTCCTACGGTGTTCGATCTTTTGATGACGTAACGATATTACAGAGATAGAAGGATGAAATTTTGAGATCACCTACTACTCTGTGTATTGTTGGGATGCACGTGACCATTTACATCACAGTTACCCCCCCCCGGGGGGATTTAGTTTCGTTTTCCTTTCCCGAGCTACCACCGCCCCATTTGCATTTACAGACTCCGAACCATTTCTAATGGATTTCTCTTGTGTCTGGTCACAACCAGGCCGAGTTTCCAGTTACTGGGTGCCTAGCTTCTTATTTATTTAATTGTTTTTAATGTTTTAATTATTTTAAAATGACCATAAATCGGTGGCTCTAAATTCGCATGTCTTAATTTTTTCTCAGGAACGCTTCTTCCCGCCCAGACATTCAATATGAAGTCTCGGATGTCACATTCGGCTCACTTCATCTCCAGATGCAGTCTGATACCCCCCATGTTATTGGTCCTATTGTCCCAGTCCAGAGGTGTTTAAATTTATTTATATCGTGATTATCTCAGGTTTGGCTGGTCCAATTGACTGAATATTAGTGTCCTTTAACTCTGCTCGTGACCGCCTTTCGCCCTTCGCCCAGCGTGCCCTGCTAAAGATTTTTAGAAATATTTTAATCTTGTTACATCAAAGAAGTATAACTTCTTGCGTGCGTACATAAGTACACACACAATTTTTTTTTGTGGAGAAGGTTTCTGGGCTATGCTGTTTGTTGCAGCTCCCCAACAGCTGATATACTACAACATATCAACTTCTGCATCACTCAATCAATCTCCAAGTTGCCAACATAGTTACCAAGAATGATGCCAACTTGACTTTATCGCAAAACATTTCGCTATGTTTCCATAAAATCACCTTTTTAATGTAAGGAATGGTGTTGCTTGCGAATATATATATATATATATATATATTACAGTTTTAAATTGAAATAAATACAACAGAAAGTAATATTAACTTATTACACATCCAGTTATAAATTATTCACACTATTTTAAGCGTTCATTACACAAAATGAGTCACAATTTGTTACTTTTGCTGAGCAGAGATCAGCTTACGAAAGTGTTTTGAAAAAAATCGACCCGTGTAAATGTTATATAAACACGTTTCATAACTTCAAACGCGCGTTTTGCGTTGTAGTAAATTGTTATTAAGAAAAACTAAATTTGAATCCGTTCGTCATTCAAATGTAACGTAATAAAGAGTTAAGTTGTAGTTTTGTTTATCTCAAAATTTTCATCTAAAACACTTATTTTGGTTCGGAATCACTACATATATTATACCTTTGAATTTTAGGTACTTTCAGATTGAAAATTCGGGCCCAAACATTTAAAGTTTGAGAAGCACTGTTCTACATATATCTATAAATACTGTTTATTTAAAAGAAATGATATTTCTTATAAACGTAAAAGGTTGCATTTCTAGAAGTGTACTATTTTTTCAAAAGCCTGCAATAATACCTCGAATAAATGACTTCAAAACATATGAGCGTTGCATGCGTGCATTTCAAGTTTCTTCGTAAAGAGGGGGTGCGCATTATACGAATAATGTTTCTAAAAATTTAAAATTAGAGCCCTAAAGTATAGGTGCGCATTATACGCCGGATTTTAAGGTATATATTTTTGTCTGGAATTCTAATCAGAAAAGATCAGAATTTAAATGAAAGCTCACGGGATGTCTGAAGGAATGAAAACTCAATTAATTGGAAAGTTCTTGTTAGCTGCAAAAAATATAATTGAATAAAGCTTCATCTGTTTGATTATCCGCAATAATCGAATTCATTTTTCAGTTCCGAGTTCTTCGGTTGTGTTATTTTATGGAGAATATAGACGATTCTTGGTCTTAAGATCCAAACACTTTCGTATCCTTTTAATATCGTAACAAGAAGGATTTTGAAAAATATTTTGAACCTACGAAAAAATAATCGTCGTAATTGAACAAAAGAATACTTTTTTTTTTACTTTCTTTGTGAAACATTTTTCAATTATAAGATAATTTGATCATTTTCATTGTTACTCTGTCATGTTTTAAGAAATACACGTTGCGAAATAGATTTTAAATTAATAACTATTAAAAGTTTTATTATTAGAAAATGGTTCCTAATGAATTTATGAAAGCTTCCGTTTCTCATCATCTTAATTTGATTTATTTAATTCACTTATACGTTTTTATATTTGAAATGTATTTTAGCATTTTATTTTATTCTTTATAAATGTATTTTAATTTTAAAATTTGTTCTTGAGGAGTCAGTTGATTTCCTTTAAAAACCATTATTGAATCAACTCATTGTTTTGAACCATATGCATGGGAGGTTTGACATCTAATTGGATCCCCCACTAGCAGTAGGGTGAAACGCGGTGCTTTATAGAGAAAGAAAGAAATTTATTAATCGGTACCTTCTGATCGCGTGATATTCGTAACTTAACAACAGTGATCACTCCTGTACGGAGGCTATTACTGGTTTATTTAGATACCACCACAGTACTCCCCCACCAGTGAGTCGGTGGATAGATGAAAGAATAAGATATTTGTTGTTTTGGTGAGTATTATGAATTTGCTTGCAACGTCAAGCGGATCTGGTGAATTTTGATTCTACTTTTTGCGAGTAGATGGTGCCACGACACATAAAAAGGTTTTGCGTTTTTCTTTACAGCCAAAGCCACCAATGTCGTAGGTTAGAACTCGTTACCTTCTGATTCGTAAGCACGTAATATACCACTAGACAAAAGTGATCAGTCCCATTAGGGGGCTGTTACTGGTTTATTTAGATACCGCCACTTCTACCTATGCGGTAAAGATATTCCATGGTATGGATATTAACCCCTTAACAAATTTGCCCGTGTCTGACACGCGTGAAAGTTTCCAGCAAATTTGCGTGTCTCATACGGACGATTTTGTATCTCACGTTATTTATTTCTCCTGCCCGTCTGAGATCCGTTCTAATAAAAATAAACAGGCTAGTTTATCAGTAAACGTACTTACAATAGATGGCCTCAAGTAGATAGGGTAAAAAGATAAAGAAAGAAACAAGATACTATTATAGGAGCTGCAATGATGGATTGTTTACCTTATTATTCTTCATGGTATATCATACCAAACTGAATATATATATATATTCTTCTCTTAATTTTCAAAAAAATGGGACTAAAAAAACTTTTTTTTCTCTCAATTCTAAATTTTCTTTTTACCAAAATTTGCGAAACTTTTCAAAAAAGAAATCTGTTTTAATTATCCGAGGATAGATGTTTAATTTTTTAGCTATTGCAACAGTTGGAAACAGTACACATTTGATACACATATATTAATTTTAGGGTTTTTTTTATTTATTTATTTTTTTATTATTTTCCTCTACTTTAGAATAATCAAGAAGCCAATATAAGAGACGGATAAGTTGCTTTTAAGACCTCGTTTTTGTTCCTTGCGATTAGAACCTGAATTCCATACTGCTTTCAGTTATTTTGCATTCGTAAAATGTATCTGATACTTCGCGAAATCCTTTTGATATGTGAATCAAAACTCAAGTAGTATTTAGAGGTAGCGTAATAAGGTTTAACGAGTGACAAACGAGAGTTAAGGGGGATCATCGTGATGTTTTCAAAATATCCAAAAATGTTTTTCATAAATTTCTTCCTTAACATGTTGAGAATATGGTGGTAAAGTGATTTTTTTTAAATTGGAAGTTGTTATAAAGAAGCAGGTGTTAGAAGAG